TTCAATTCTTCCTGGTTCAGTCTTGATGTGTCCAGGCATTTATCCTAGATATTCTTGTTTATGTGCATAGTGGTGTTTATAGCATTCTCTGATGGTTGTTTGTATTTCTGTGGGGTCAGTGGTGATATCCCACTTATTTCTGATTGTGTCTATTTGATTCTTCTCTTTTCTTCTTTATTGGTCTAGGTAGCAGTCTCTTTTATTAATTTTTTCAGTAAGTCAGCTTCTGGATTTATTGATTTTTGAAGAGTTTTTCAAGTCTCTGTCTCCTTCAGATCCTCTCTGATCTAGGTTATTTCTTGTCTTCTGCTAGCTTTGGGTTTTGTTTGGTCTTGGTTCTCTAGTTCTTTTAGTTTTAATGTTAGGTGTTGATTTGAGATCTTTCTAGCCTTTTGATGTGGGCATTTAGTGCAAAAATTTCCCTCTTAACACCTCTGTAACTGCATCCCAGAGACTTTGGTACATTGTCTCTTTGTTCTTACTAGTTTCAAAGAACTTGATTTCTGTCTTAATTTCATTACTTAAACAAGGTGTCATTCAGGAGCAGGTTGTTCAATTTCCATGTAGTTGTGTGGTTTTGAGTGATTTTCTTAGTCTTGAGTTCTAATTTGATTGCACTGTGGTCTGTGAGACTGTTATGTTCTTTTGCATTTTCTGAGGAGTGTCTTCCTTCCAATTATGTGATCAGTTTTAGAGTAAGTGCCAGGTGACAATGAGGAGCATGTATATTCTGCTGCTTTGGGGTGGAGAATTCTGTAGATATCTATCAGGTCCATTTGAGCTGAGCTCAGGTCCTGAATATCTTTGTTAATTTTTGGTCTCAATGATCTGTCTAATATTGTCAGTAGGGTGTTGAAGTCCCCTAGTGTTATTGTGTGGGAGTCTAAGTCTCTTTGTACATTTCTAAGAACTTGCCTCATGAATACAGGTCCTCCTGTGTTGGGTGCAAATGTATTTAGGATCGTTAATTCTTCTTGTCAATTCGAACCCTTTACCATTACATAATGCCCTTCTTTGTCTTTTTTGATGTTTGCTGGTTTAAAGTCTGTTTTATCAGAAACTAGGGTTATGACCCCTGCTTTTTTTCTGTTTTCCATTTGCTTGGTAAATTTGTCTCCATCCCTTTATTTTGAGTCTATGTATGTCTTTGCACATGAGATGGGTCTCTTGAAGATAGCATACAATGAGTCTCAGTTCTTTATCCAGCTTGCCATTCTGTGTCTTTTAATTGGGGCAGTTAGCCCATTTACATTTAAGGTTAATATTGTTACGTGTAATTAGATTCTGTCATCATGACGCTGGCTGCCTATTTTGCAGACTTGTTTATGTGGTTGCTTCATAGTGTCACTGGTCTGAGTACTTCAGTGTGTTTCTGTAGTGGCTGATAATGGTTTTTCCTTTTCACATTTAGTGCTTCCCTCAGGAGCTCTTGCAAGGCATGCCTGGTGCTGATGAATTTCCTCAGCATTTGCTTATCTAAAAAAAAAAAACCTTATTTCTTAATGTCAGCCAGGATGGTCTCGATCTCCTGACCTCATGATCCACCCACCTTGGTCTCCAAAAGTGCTAGGATTACAAGCATGACCCACTGCACCCAGTCAAGAATCTTATTTCTTTTTTTGCTTATAAAGCTTGGTTTGGCCAGATATGAAATTCTGGGTTGGAAATTCTCTTCTTTAAGAATGTTAAATATTGGCCTCCTTGTGGCTTGTAGGATTTCCGCTGAGAGGTCTGCTATTAGTCTGATGGGTTTCCCTTTATAGGTGACCTGGCTTTTCTCTTTGACTGTCCTTAATATTTTTTCTTTCATTTTGATCTTGGAGAATCTGATGATTATGTATCTTGGGGTTGATCTTCTCATGGAGTACCTTACTGGGGTTCTCTGCCCTTCCTGAATTTGAATGTTGGCCTGTCTTGCTAGGTTGGGAAGTCCTCCTGGATGGTATCCTGAAGTATGTTTTCCACCTTGGTTCCATTCTCCCTGTCTCTTCCAGGTAGCCTAATTAGCCCTATGGCTAATTCAGTCTTTTTACATAATCCTGTATTTCTCAGAGGTTTTGTTTGTTCCTTTCCATTCTTTTATTCTCTATTCTTGTCTGCCTCTCTTATTTCAGAATGATAGTCTTCAAGTTCTGCAATTCTTTCCTCTGCTTGGTCTTTTTCACTATTGATACTTATGATTCCATCATAAAGTTCTCGTTTTTCAGCCCCACCAGGTCAATTATATTCCTCTCTAAACTGGCTATTCTGGTTATCAGTTCCTCTTTGTTCTATCATGATTCTTAGCCTCTTTGCATTGGGTTACAAAATGCTCCGTTAGCTCAGCAAAGTTCATTGTTACCCACTTCTGAAGCCTACTTCTCTCATTTCAACCATCTCAGCCTCAGCTCAGTTCTGCGCTTTTGCTGGAGAGGTGTTGCAGTCATTTGGAGGAGAAGAGGCACTCTGGTTATTTGAGTTTCCAGCGTTTTCGTACTGATTCTGATCTTTGTGGGTTCATCAGTCTTCGATCTTCAAGATTGCTCATCTTTGAAGGGGTTTCTTTGTTGACATTGATGGTGGTGCTTTCTCTTTGTTTGTTTTTCTTTCATCAGTCAGGTCACTCTTCCATGGGGCTGCTGTGGTTTCCTCAGGATCTGCTCTAGACCTTAGTTGCCTTGGTTTTTCTCATACCTGGAAGTATCACCAGTGACATCTGCAAAACAGAAGGACAGCAGTCTGCTCCTTTTTCTGTGAGCTCCATTTCAGGGATGTGCTGACATGTTGCCTGCCTGATTGCTCCTGTAGGAGGTATCTGGAGACCCCTGTTGGGAGGGCTCACCCAGTCAGGAGGAATGGGATCAAGGACCCACTTAAAGAAGCAGTCTGGCTGCTTTTTGGTAGAGCAGGTGTAGCAGGTGTGCTACATTGAGGGGCCCTTTCCTCATTCCTCATCCAGAGCCAGCAGGCTGGAAAGACTAAGTCGACTGAACCAGAGACATCCACCACCCCTTCCCTGGGGAGATTCCGTCCCAGGAGAGAGCAGAGATTTTTGCCCATATAACCCTTGCTGGAGCTGTTGAAATTCCCATAGGGAAGCCCCATGCAATGAGGAGGATTGGATCGGGGTCCCCCTTAATGAAGCAGTCTGGCCATGATCTGGCACAGCAGCTGTGCTGCGTTTTGGGAGATTCCTCCTTGTCCAGACCATCTGGACTCCCCAGAACTGGCAGACTAGAATGGCTGAGTCAACCAAACTGCAGAGGTGGTGTCTGCCTCTACCCACAGGAGCTTGGTCCATCTCAGGCAGACTCCAGCCTGTCACCACTGGCTGGCAAGAATTCCAAGCCAGTGAGCCTTAACTTGTGAGGTGCTGTGTAAGTGGGCCCTGCAGAACAATGCTTTTTGGCTCCCTGGATTCAGCCCCCTTACTAGCAGAAATATATGAATGGAACTCCCGCCTTGCTGAGATTCCTTGGGCTGGAGTATGTAAAACTCCTGGGTCTTTGTGTGTGCCTAAGTGGCCTCTCTGCCACGACTCTGCACAACTCTGTGTATCGGACCCAAGGCCCTGGTGTGGGCTCATGAAGGGATCTCCCAATCTGCAGGTTGTAAAGATCCATGGGAGAAGCATGGTTTCCCGGGCTGTGTCACACAATCACTCACCACTTCCCTTTGCTGGGGCTGGGGGTTCCTTTGGCTCTGTGCTGCTCTTGGGTGGGCCATTTTCCCAGCTAAGAGGCATTTTCCCTGCCTAGGCAGTCCCAGTGTGAGAATCTGGATATTTTAGCTGAAGTTGCTTTCACTCCTTTCCCTGAGAGCTGTGGACTGCAGCTGCTTCAAATTGGCCATCTTGGCCCCTCAACCTTATTTTTCTAAAACCTTGGGCCCTAGGCAGCAGTGAGGCACTATTTCTTTCTTTCAGGGCCCCACCCTAGTTCCTGACTTAAAGCAAGTACTTGGTTCCTGTCTGCCATCTTGGATGGGGCATCTTGGGCTTGCCCAGCAGAGGCCAAACTCCCTGCTGATTTGAGACAAAGGGCCCAGTAGGTCAGAGGCTTCTGGCAGTGTCTCTTCTGCTTCTGCTGAGCCAGACATCTCTTTTTAGCTTTCTATTTTTATACCTACCTGACATGCCTTTGTATTCAGAGCCGAAAGATGGATCAAAGCATGAATTCATTGAGCTGTCTTGCCCAGAATGTTCTTCCATACCTTTCTTATTTTCAATTCACTGCCTTATTGCACAGCTTTAAAGAAGCTATTTTACTTTGTCACACTGACATTGAGTCAAAAGAGCAGGCATTCTTCTCATCTGAGCGACAAATGAGAAAAACAAGAAATAAAGATCTCAAAGTACCTCAGCTCGGGTTTAGTGGATGGGTGGCTAGCTACAGAGCCCTAGCCCCATGCCTGACTGCAGACCCCCGTCTCAGTTTAGCCTTTGAGTCTGCCTTGCTGCCAAGAGAAATGGGACACTGAGCAATCATGGTATTTGTCAAAGATAATTCCTTTGCCTGGTTACCCATTGCTTATGATTCTTTGGGCATCTTGTATTCTAGAAGGACAAATTAGAGGAGAAAAGGTCTGATCTTCTGTCATGACAGCAGATTTTAATTTAGATATTGTCATTCACACTTATGCCTCCCGCTTACCTTCCTAGTCCAAATTTCCAGGCCCCACCATTCCACTGAATTCAATTAGACTGATGAAATGTTCACTTAGTTCTGTTGTGCTCGGGCACCACCAGGTGATACAATGTGGTCTACAATAAGTCCAGGAAGTGGGGGATCCCCAAAATCATAGATAGATGAGTAACCAGTTATCTACATGAGAAATATCTGTGAACCACTTTTTACGTACCAGGCAACTTTCTGGTCACAGTAGAGAACTGAAAGGCCAATCATTTGATAGAACTTGTTCCTTGGGGACTTACAGCATAGAAGAGCTGATGTGGTCATCAATGGCCAATATATGAGGTGGAAAATGAAGTAGAAAATGGACCACCCAAGGAAAGATGGAAGAGGGTCTGACTGGGTCAGGAGATCAGCCTGCTTGTCAGATTCCTGGGAAAAGTTGATCCAGGTGAGCTTTGGTGGGGGCTTCAGGAATGAGGAGAGAGGAATAGTTCTAAGAGCAACGTGGGTCCCAAGGCAGTGGCCAGCGGGGCCACCCTGATGCCGTTGAAGTCTATACATCTGTCCAGCAGGGAGAGATCACTTCTGCTGGCAAGTCTTTGGAGATGTGGGTGGGGGGTGTGTTGGTGAGAAGAGGGGCGTTAGGTATTTTAGCTCTGTCCTTCATGGTGGGCAATTTTGGACGTTCATTTGATTTGTGCCCTATACCCTATCCATGTAGGGACTCAGTAAATACTGAATTGAACTGACTAGATATCAAAGTCTTGAGAAAAATTGTAAGAAAAAGGTGTAAGTTCAGATTAGACCACTGCTTAGAATAAGGATTTAAGTTGAAAATCATGGTTGTCATCAAAATATTTTATACTTAAGCCTTTTTTTTTGAAATTTGCTTTTCTAAAGACTTCATTTGAATTTGTTTCCTCTCATCCTTCTTTGAGGCATGCCAGACACCACCTGTGTTGTATTCATTTATTTGTTTAATGCCCGTAGAGAACCATGCCAACCCACATCCATCCAGACTTCCAGGCCTAAGGTTCTGGTTGAAATGACACAGAAACCACGGCAATGACTGTGGACAGTCATGTTTCTAGAAAGTGACCTTCACACACATTCCCACGAAGGCTTCCTGTGGTAGTTTCAAATTCAGGGTTACCAATGTCCTTCCATTTCAGGGACTTCAACACAACAGTGCTTCTATGTTATCGGGAATTGGAGGTACACCAAAATAATAGCAAATACGCGAGGAAATAAAGAGATGCTAATCTCATTCCTGCATCTCCTGGTACAACACCCAGCATATTGTTACCTTTGTGATTTACAAAATCCACAGCATTTAAAAGGATTTACCTATGTCTGCATAAACTAGACTGACTGAGGTTTAAAAAAGCCATAAAGGCAATGTTTATCTTTAAATGTCAAATATTGTGAGAGTAGATTTAGTGTTCTTTCCTACCCATGAATAACATTCCAGACTGTAATTAATTTATCCATGTTCCTATCAGCAGAGCATTATTCAGGGACAAAAACGGGGTGGAGAGTGATAGAGGGGGTCGGAACACTGTTATTTCTTCTGGAAAAGCTTTCTTAATTGGATTTGTGCTCTTTTCATACCAATGTGAAGGTTGTGGTTGCTGGTTAACTGCAAGGGCAGCTGTAATGCCCAAACCTGTGGGTCTACAGTCAACCACGTCTCGTCTTCCCTGGGTGACTTGAGGGTGCTGTGAATTAGTGCCAGTGACCCCAAGACCTGGGCAGAGGCAGCCTAGGTGACCATGTTAATGGACAGTCTTGCTATCCACCAGTCAGGCAGGATTCAGTGGCATTTTTGGGGCACAGTACCCAGTAGAGACCTATGAAATTGACTATTATGCAGTTGACTTTGTCTAGTGGAAAAAAGTCCTTCCTCTAAATCAGGGGTTCCTAATGTGGCAGCCACAAATGGCCTAGCATATCAGGCGTCTAGAGAACTCTTGAACTGTAGATCAAATATTGCATATGTGTGCATCGGGATGGGTGGGGGCAGGATGGTGGAGGAGAGCCATACTTTTCCTCGTACTCCCAAGAATCTGAAAAGATTAATAACTATTGTTCTAAAATGATAACAGAACATACACATCTGACATAGCCAAAAAACACTTGCAACACAACTAATCAGCACGGTCAAAGCAATTCCATGAGGAAAGGAGTTCTCAGGTATGCCGAGGGAAGAAACAGCTGGGTAAGGGGCTTTGCAGAAAGCCGATCCTGGAACAGAGCAGGCACGGGAACCTGCTGAGGGTCCTTGCGGAGGAGAATGTGGATTAGCAGGGCCTGGGGTAAACTCTGATTTGCATCCACATCAGTTTCTGCCAGTTGGCTACTCTTCCAAAAGTGGGCGTGACATTTCCATGTCCCCTGAATTTTGTTGCATATGAGAGCTCTCCATTTTTAAATCTTAAAAGTGAATTCAAAATTAAAGTAAACAAACAGCCCTATGGCTAGAGGCTCAGAGCTGGTCAGAGGTGCCCATTCTTAGATCTTTGATGGGGAGCTGAGGTTTGAAAAAGTCCTGGGCCCCAGTCAGAGGCAGGCGTCAGCCTGTGCTGTGTAAAGCTGGAAACAGGCTGGACCCACGAAGAAGAGGCTGGAAGGGGGAAAGGTGAGTCATGCACAGAGAACAGAGGCAGCTTGGGTGCTGGTCTAGAAGCTCTGCTAGAGGGCAGAGGAGTAGGGAACGAAGTCGGTGAGCTGGAACAGCCTGCAGGGCTCCAAACAGGTTGTGGGTGGTTTCTTTCTGGAACCAGAACAATCCTCTAGGAGGTCTTAGGAGAATGCCAGGAGGCCACACGCAATGCTTGGGAGAGAGGTTTCTCGCATGTAGCACTCATTCCCAGGCAAAAAGAGTCCTGGAAGGAAACTGACACAGACCACCTATGACGAAGGAAATCAGACAGGGAAATGTTGGTCAAAGGAGGGAAACAGAAGAGAGCAACCAATGACTCTCAGAAGACATGGATGTGTTAAGCCACCCGTGTGGGCAGGGGATAGAGCTGGGGGGGGCAGTGACAGAGCCGGTAGCTGTGTGGGGTCTCTCATTATTCTGTGCCCCACTAGTGGGACAGAATGGGGACTTCAGGGCCATTGTTTACCTTGGACTTTCTCATGGGGAGGAAATATTATGCTTTCAGCATACCGTGACACTCAGTTTAAGCTCTGCTGCTGCTTAGGAAAGATTGTTGCCAGCCAGGCAACTGTAATCTCAGCTCTTTGGGAGGCCAAAGTGGGTGGATCACGAGGTCAAGATATCGAGACCATCCTGGCCAAGATGGTGAAACCCCGTTTCTACTAAAAATACAAAAATCAGCTGGGCGTGGTGGCACATGCCTGTAGTCCTAGCTACTTGGGAAGCTGAGGCAGGAGAATCACTTGAACCCAGGAGGCGGAGGTTGCAGTGAGCTGAGATTGCGCCACTGCACTCCAGCCTGTTGACAAAGTGAGACTCTGTCTCAAAAAAAAAAAGAGGGGGGGGAAGAAAGATTGTTTACCTTTAGGGGTGTGTCTTGCTGAAGATCCAGAAGCCCCAGGGTAATAAGAGTTGTCCCTGCGGATAGTAGAAACCGCAGGATAAAGGAGTAAAAAAGCAACAAGGGGCAAGGCACAGTGGTCACGCCTGTAACCCCAACACTTTGGGAAGCCAAGGCAGGAGGATCACTGGAGGTCAGAAGTTCAAGCAAGCCTGAGACTCCCATTTATAAAAAAAAAAGAAAGTTTAAATTAGCCAAAGCATGGTGGTGCACAACTGTAGTTCCAGCTACTCAAGAGGCTGAGCTGGGAAGATCTCTTAAGCCAGGAGTTCGAGGTGGCAGTGAGCTATGATTGCGCCACTGCACTCCAGCCTAGGCAGCAGAGTTAGACGTTGTCTAAGGGGAAAAAAAGTCAACAAAAGGGGCCAAAGGGCAAGGAATGTCCCCAGGAGAACACAGGAGCATCTGGATACCAACTGAAGGGTAGCCAGAGGGAAGAGTAAAGAACTGTCCACATGACCTTGCATCCTCAGCAGGCTCCACTGCAGGTCTGTCCTTTCTGGTGACAGGCTGAGCCCTTCTTCCTTTACTACCCCCTGAGCAGAGTTAGGAGCAAAAGCAGGGCATCCAAGTTTCAAGTTAAGACTTGAGATTTTTCTAAGAAAGGATGAGAAGTGGCTGGAGCTTTGGCTTTGATGTCACATGCACTGAAGTGAGAGCTCATGAAAAATGAAGATAAACCCACTGAGGGGGCAGGGAGCCATGCTCACCACCCCTCTAGCAAAGGGACCAGGAAGAAAGGGAGAGGAAGAGAGAGAAATAAAGACAGAGTGAACCAAGGACTATGTGGACTATGGTTCTGTTATCATCATTATTTCAAGATCAGTCATACCTATAAGACAGAAAGAGGCAAGCATGAAAGAATGAAGGGAGAAGGAAGAAGAAGGAAAAAGAGAAAAAGAGGAAACCATTTCAAGTTCATCAAGGATCACAAAATACTCTTTCTCATCTGTAATCATGTCTTATCATTTCAAATAGAAAATGACAACCACAGCATCATTGCAATAAAATAATTCATCATACATGGGATAGAGAGGAAGAAGAGGAGACATAAAAACACCATCCATCACTTACCTAAGTCTTTACTTTCTGACAGAGCTTCCATTCATACTGTCTTCACAATAACCAGGTGACAGGTGGGCAGGCATTGTCCTTCACTCTGACGGGAATAATGCTCCCTGCAGCTGATCTGGGCTGCTCCACACATGTTTACCTGGTCTACAAATTGTTACTAAAAGGGTTACACATCAAAGCTTGGTGGGACAAACATTTTGCTTCAATCCATTATCCATTTGGAGAGGTAGGCAGGAGGATACTGCAAATGTACAGCATGACCTGGAGGAGAAGAATCCAGGGAATTTTCAGATAAAGTTTATGTAATTTTTCTTAAATATTAAAATACATGGAGTTTGATATGGTTTGGCTGCATCCCCACCCAAATCTTATCTTGAATTGTAATCCAAATTGTAATCCCCATGTGTTCGGAACTGATTGGGAAGTGATCCAATCACTGGGAAGTGATTGGGTCATGGAGGCTGTTCTTCCATTCTGTTCTCATGACAGTGAGTGAGTTCTCACAAGATCTAATGTTTTCGAAAGCGGCTTTTCCTTCCGCTTTGCTCTGCACGTCTCTCTCCTGCCGCCATGTGAAGAAGGACATGTTTGGTCCCCCTTCAGCCATGATTGTAAATTCCTGAGACCTCCTCCGTCATGCTGAACTGTGCATCAATTAAACCTCTTTCCTTTGTAAATTACCCAGTTTCAGGCAGTTCTTTATAACAATGTGAGAATGGACTGAGTTGTTGCAAAACAAAAAAAGGAAGGAAAACATAGAGTAGCATAAAGAATATATTAAATCCCTGGGAGACCTACCATTAATAGACAATGTTAACATGGTGGTGTGCTTCCTCATAGAAATAACACCTGGCATCCAATATTTACAATTTAGGGCCTTAAGTTTTGTGGGGATTTTGTTTTTTGTATTTGTATTTTTCACCTAACATGATAACATAAAGATCTCCCCGTTAGTTTTTTGTTTGTTTGCTTTGAGCCAGAGTTTGGCTCTTGTTGCCCAGGCTGGACTGCAATGGCATGACCTCAGCTCACTGCAATCTCTGCTTCCTGGGTTCAAGTTATTCTCTTGCCTCAGCCTCCCAAGTAGAGATTACAGGTGCCTACCACCACGCCCAGCTAAATTTTTGTGTTTTTTATAGAGACGGGTTTCGTCAAGTCGGTCAGGCTGCTCTTGAACTCTTGACCTCAAGTGACCCACCTGCCTTGTCCTCCCAAAACGCTGGGATTACAGGCATGAGCCACTGCACCTGGCCGCATGTTGTTATAAACTATTTGTAAACATTATTTTAAGGACTGCATATAATATTCTACTATGTAGAATAATATGTACTATAATTTACCTATTTTTCAATTTTTAGATGTTTAGATTCTAGTTATTGTAAGTAAAAACAAAAAGAACTTTTACATGCATAAGGCTTTTTCTACAGCTCTGATCCTTTCCACAGAATAGATCTCACACAGTGCAATTTCATGTCACAGGCTATGAACATTTCAGGCCCTTCCAACCTGGCTGTCTGGGTTCATTTTGCCCCCACGTTGCAGGGCAATCCTGGTTCTGCCTGTCACAGACATGTCGGTGCCCTCCTCGGAGAGCCTCCAATCACCCTCGTCCGCATGAGAACGCCGAGGTCGAGGCCCAGGGACAAGTGACCTGCCGAGGAAGACCATGGGGGGCAGTGACCCTAGAGAATGTCTTCTAGCCCTAGGTCAGTAACCTGCCTCTGCGACCCACCTGCGGAGCAGGATCCTGGAGCTTGGACGTCATTCCCCAGAAGGTTCATGGGATTGTCTTTTGGGGACTGCCCCTTCTCATTCTTGTCTGCCAGGCTGGTGAGCAATAGCTATGAAATTTGTCGGGAAGTCACCTGGGTCATTGCACGGTTTGCTCCCTGGAGAAGGACGGAAAGACGGAAAGGTCCGCAGGACCTTAGAGTGCGCGCCAAGGCTTTGGGTGCCTCCAGCGACTGTCTACCGCTCTGGGTCCCCTCCTGTCTGGCCCACAGCTGCACCCCCGGCTCAGGGCTGCACACTCAGTAAGTAGGTACTTAATAAATGTTTGCCAAATAAGGGTGTGGCCGAAGCTGGGGTGCGGGATGAGGCTAAAAAGAGCAGTGGGGGCGGAGATTAAGCGGTTTTGGAGTGATTATGTTCGGAGATGTTTGAAGGCCCGCGCGTCCGAGGGTGGGGCGTTTCCCAGTGGGCCTTTCTCCGGGCTGCAGTGGTTTCTTCCCTGGTAGCCTCAAACTTTTGCCGGAAGGTAGGTGGGTCTGTCGGCCCGTCGGCTTTCGGGATCCTAACGCAGACCTTCTGCCGGCCCTGAGCTTCTCCAGCAAGATCCAAAGCGCTTTCCCGCGCGCGGCGGCGTTGGTCTGGAGTGCAGGGTGCGGAGGACCAGGGAGATCCGGGGCTGGTGAGGGGTGGTCCCGGGGGACCCTGGGCTGGGCCGTGGGGATGGGTGGAGTGGGGCGGGACGCGTGGCGGCTCCGGGAGGCCCCGGGAGGCCCCGCCCGCCCCCCAGCGCAGCGCTCAGGCGCTCAGAGGGTGCCACCCCGGGGCTGGGCTGTCGGTGGCCTCAGCGCTCGGCAGGCGCGCACTCCGCTCCACACCCGGTTCTCTCGGCATCTCAGACCCAGGTAAGTCAGGGGTTCCCACCTCCGCGGCCCTCTTCCGGGTCGCGGGTGGCCTAGTCCGGCGACCCTGGGCGGGGGGCTCCTGGAACCTGCGTCTCTGGACGCGCAGCCGGCGCGCTCCAGGCTAGAAGCGCCGCGACCCCCAGAGTCGGGGACAGGATAGGATGTCCAGCCTCTCCCCTCCTTTCCTTCTGCCGCTCTCACTGCTTATACAACAAACGCGTAGGAAAGCATCTCACCAACATAGAACAAAGAAAACATTCCTCCATTATTAAGTTATAGACATTCTTGTGGAATATTTGGAAAACACCTACATGCAAGTTTCAAACAAAAAAGAAAATCAAAACCACTCAAGGGACCTGAGTCCCCACTTTGTTTCAAATATCTTCAGCTTTTTTCTTTTTCTTTTATTATTATTTTTTTTTTTTTGGACCAGCTCTTGGGCCTTGGCATCTCCCTGCAGAAAGGGCATGGGACGCGGAGAACATTACTGATATCTGATCTTGATTGCGGTAATGGGAAAACTGGGGAACTTTAGAAGAAAGTTGACTAAGCAGCAGAGACATATGCATGTGCCCAATCTATTGCACAATACATTGCCTCCGGGATTCCTCCCATTCTCTATGAGAATTGACAGTTCATTTGAGTCCACATTCAGATTAAGAAGGAGTTTCCAGCTCCATTAAGGAAGTACCTCGTCAATAACCACAGCTATCATTTATGGTCCAGGTGGTGGGGACTTTGCTGAGTTCACCCAGTTGCTTAAATTCCGCCGGGACTCTGATTTTCAATGACCAGGCAAAACTGATCTTTCTCTGGCCAGTTTCACACAATCATCAGGTGAGCTGAGGATCCCTTGGAGGAAGATATTCTCTGTATCCAAAGGAAATAGCCAAGATGTTCAGGTAGGACCTGCTTTTGACAGGTTATTGGAAAATTGTCTTGAAAATAAAGCTCACTTAGAAGACATCAGAGGGACTCATTGCTATCATCTTAAATCTCTGAGGGTGAGACAGCTCCTGTGTGGTTTCGGTCTTTCTGGTAGTTGCATGGAACACTTATTATTCATGTGTTCATGCATGCCTGCCTGCATTCGCTGAATGTTTATGGTGCTCCTACCATATGCCAGACCCTGTTCTAGCTGCTTGGGATGCAATGAAGAACAACCCAAGCAAAGATCCTGGCCTGCAAAAGCTTGCATTTTGGTGGGAAAGACAAACATTGAACAATCAACATAATACTTAAGAAAACTTTATTATATTGGAAGGTGACAAAGACTCTGGAAAAGGAGGAGAGAAAAGGTGTAGAGTTACGGGGAATGGGGAAGGAGGGAAGAAAATTGTGCTCTACTGTTAACAATCACCGACTGCCTGAAAGTGTTTTAGAAATAAAGTGGGTTGCAGATACATAGATAAGAATACTGTAGATCTTAATATACAAAATGAGTAATAACAAAAATACATTAATAATATAAATATAAATAAGTAATATGAAATTTAATATATAAAAACATGCTACATTCCAAGAGTTCTTCCTTTGATTACTAAACAATCTATTTTCAGAGCGTGGTATACGTTATCGGCCATTCACTCACCTTCCCATTGTAGTGGTTTGAATCTAATTCTTTGCATTCCCATTTAGTTCAGGAAAACCTTATTGGAATATTCTGGGTACCGGAGTGGAGACAAAGGTGAGCAAGATGGTCTCTGTCCTTTGGGAGCTCCCGGGAGGACATGCCCAGACAGGTCTACAAATGTTCAGAAGTTAGAATATTGCCAGCACCGTAGGAGACATATAGACAAGGTATGAGGGGCCAATGAAGGGGAAGAGATTCTGGATCAGAGTCAGACACAGTGTGGATATGAGCTGGCTTTTGAAGGACCAGTAGAATTTTAACAAGGGAATATGGTGGGAATGCCTCACCTGTAGAGAGAACAGCAAACATAACGCAAGAGGCCAGGCGCAGTGGCTCATGCCTGTAATCCCAGCACTTTGGGAGGCCACGGTGGGCCAATGGCTTGAGTCCAGATATGCTGAGCCTGGGCAACATGGCGAAACCGTGTCTCTAGTAAAAATACAAAAATTAGCTGGGAGGGTGGCACACACCTGTAAACCCAACTACTTGGGAAGCTGAGACATGAAAATCGCTTGAACCCAGGAGGCAGAGGAGGTTGTAGTAAGTTGAGGTTGTGCCACTGCACTCCAGCCTGGGCAACAGAGCGAGACTCGGTCTCAAAAATAAAATAAAATAAAGTGAGCCAGTAAGGTCGGGGGCTGATCCCATGCTGCACAAAAACCTGGGGCATATGCCCCAAATGCTCACAGATGTTTTCATAGAGTTTGATCGAGTCTCCTCACCACCTCGCCACTTAGGGCCCCCTGACTCTGCGGAGAGGGGGAGGACAGAAGACCAGGCACAGCCAGCCAACTTCCAGGAAGCATCTGGTGGGCCTGGGTGGTTTCTTTTCTGCAATGAGGTAAATATGTTTCCAGAAATTAGACATAGTGTTGTGATAAAGATGAAAACAATGGACAGTTGCTTCCGAGGACGATTGACTCAGAATTCTCGGCTCAGTAAGATCATATTCACCAAAATGAGGCTTACCCCATTGTGTGTGTGTGTGTAATTATATATAGTATATAATGAGGGTAGATTCCATCATTTCCACTGTTCAGGTGAGGAAACTGAGGCTCCTGGATTTATTTCATTTGCTGAAGATGAGATTCCTTCCTTCCCTCCTGATGTGTGACTTCAGCTGTCATTCAAACACTCGCCCACGTCTTCATGTTGAGTTTGATGGAGTCTCCTCACCAGCTCGCTGGCCTGACTCCCAGTCAGTGTTTATATTTCCATTCTTTGCACCCCAAACCCTCTCTCCATCACCTGCAGAGAGGTCCAGGAAGCTCCTAGTAAAAGCACCAGACTCAAGCCACACCCCACATCCCGTTGGGAGGTGACAGAAAACACTTTTCTGATCAGAGGGGACAGTCTGATTCTGGGCCTCTGCGCAGTTTCATCCTGATTCTTGAGAGACCCTGGCCACTTTAGCGCCCACGGACTCTGGGAAGAGGGGAAGGACAGAAGACCACACAAAGCCAGCCAACTGCCTGGAAGCATGTGGTGGGTCTGGGTGGCTTCTTTTCTGCTAGGAGGTAAATCCGTTCCCAGAATTTGGACACAGTGTTGTGATAAAGATGAAAGCAATAGACAGTTGCTTCCAAAGACAACCGACTCAGAATTCTTGACTCAATACGATCATATTCACCAAAATGAAGCTTATCCATCATTGCTTTTACCCTAATTCTGCTTCTTAAAACAAATGAGGCCAAATGGTCGTGTCATCACACATGTGATGCTCTGAGGAAATGTGTAAGGAGTGCTGTCAGGCCTGATGAAGATGCTACCCCCAGTCACCTAGGGAAGTAAGTTAAGGAGTCGTGTGGTTTATCTAGGACTGAGCTGGGGCTGGAGCCCAGATTCCTGAGCTCTGACTCTGACATTTCTGTCTCCCCTACTCACCCCTAGAATCTATTCCTTTTAGATGAAAGCTTGGAGTCAGCCACAAGAACCTTACTCAGTCAATAAATGGGTGAGAAAGATCAGGATCTGGAGGATTTGCTAATAATAATAAAAGAATGAGAGGGGCGTGCTCAGGGCAGGGGCCTGAAGAGCAGCTCCTCCCTTTTAAACACACTCAAAAGGAGTCTGAGGTCACAGGGACGAGGGGAACAAATTTGTGGCCTCCCCATGAGCAAATGCCCCACACATCTCCCCTGCAGAATCAGTGGGACAGGGCTCAATATTGGAAGCAAGCCTGCGGTATTTACTGGGGAAGGCTGCTGTCTACGGCCTGACCAGCTTATGCATGGGGAGGCCACAAATGGTCTTAGAAATAAAAGCTTTGGAGAAAGAAAGAGAGAGAGAAAGAAGAAAGAAAGAATAAAAAAAAGAAAGGAAGGAAGGAAGAGAGAAAGGAAGGGAGAGAGAGAGAGGAAGGAAGGAAGGGAGGAAGGAAGGAAGGGAGGGAGGGAGGGAGGGAGGAAGGGAGGGAAAGAAAGAAAGTTTCTCATGCTGGGAAAGCTTCTGTTAGGAAAGCTTCCAGGCTGTTATCAGTGCTGATAGGCCGGCCACACAGCCAGAGCACGTGGGGTAAGTCAGAAGGGTAGTGTGTGCCAGGAGCAGCGAGGCGCCACCCACTGCCCTCTTCTCCCCTGGGTTCGGCTGGGGGCCTAACGGAACGCCAGGGTGCAGGAGCCCCCGTTGGTGCTTCACTCAGCTCAGCTACCCAGAGCTCTGTGTCCTGAATGATTTCCAGCAGACCAGCAGCTCTGGGTCTAAGCTTTTAAGAAAACAAAAATTATGCTACCCTTGATTAGGGGCAGCATTCATGTCTCACACCCAGGCAGAAGCAGAAATGGCCAGAATCCACTCCTACTTTCTGGGCCAGACAAGGCCACGGTTTGAGAATGTTCAGCACAGGCTGAGCATCAGATGGACTTTGTTTGGAGTTAAACATCCCTGGCCCCTACCGTTTCTGTCTCCCTCATCCCTTTCATCACTGAGCAAGCCACAAAAAGCTGAGGGGAAAGGAGCAGGGATGACTTCTGATGGCATGTTTAGGTAAGAAGCCAACCTCCATTTGCATAGATCCAATGCGACCTGATAAAGACGGCCTGTTCCTCAGCTGCTTTGAGCCTCAATAAAGGGTCAGTTTCTTCTGTACGAGGTCCTGGGAATTGCTCTTTTCTATACTAATCAAATGTGAGGCAATAGCTAAGAGGTTACATTTTAGATCTATTTTTGGTTGGTTGTTTTTGTTTTTGTTTATTTATTTAAGTTTCAGGGTACATGTGCTGGATGTGCAGGTTTGTTACATACGTAAACATGTGCCATGATGGTTTGCGGCACCTGTCAACCCATCACCTAGCTATTAAGCCCAGCATGCATTAGCTCTTTTCCCTAATGCTCTTCCCCACCCACCTTCCCCCCACCCAACAGGCTCCAGTGACTGTTGTTCCCCTCCCTGTGTCCATGTGTTCTCATTGTTCAGCTCCCACATATAAGTGAGAGCATATACAAGGACATACATGTATTTCTGATAGGAGAGATTACTTTTGGCAAGCATCTCACCTCTAAGGAGCTCGTTTTCTGTAAATTAAAATTGTTGGATCAGTTGCTCTCCCAGTCTGTTGGAGTCCAACAGTCCGAACGTGCAGCCACAGGGCATGTAGGTGCTTTGGAATTATGTACAATAGAACAGAACCTAGAGAATCTGATATAAATTTCCAAATGACATGCAGATCCCAGACTCTGTGTCATTTACACCACGTTGACTATTAAGAAGACATTGGCAAACTCATTCTGAGACTCATTACACAGAAGTACCATGGTGACCCAGCCTGCAGGCATTGGGAGTACGGAGGACATTCAGCAAAAGCCATGCAATAAATTACATGTAAAGTTTTTTTTAATTGTTTTAAAAATATAGGGTTGTTATTTGAAAGGCAGTTAATTCGCTTGACCTAAGCTCCGACAGGGGAATTGTAATTGAAGGCATCAGCGTGCATGAGAATGGGGACAGCTGAGGTTACACTGAAGACTGGAGAGTTTCTTTCTGCAATTTCTCTTCAGACTGTATCAGAGGCAAACAAGAACAAAAAGGAAAATATAAAAAACAAACAAGATTTGAAAAATAGAGAAATCATAGTTTATACTCTTGCAAAATTCCTCCAGGTACCCGGCAGCACAAAAGGCCAATGGCTCAGTTTCCCAGGGACCCAGACCACAGCTCCGTGGTTCTCCATCTTGGCTACAAATTAGCATCATTTGGGAGATTTCTGAAAAGTCTCCAGGTCAGGCAGGAACCCAGAACAGTAACATTAAAATCTCTGGAGGTGAGATCTAGGAACTAATTTTCTAAAAGCTCCCCCGGTGATTCCAAGAGATCACCAAGCAGCACCTACAGACCAGCAGCATTAGCACCACGTGGGAATGTGTTAGGAATGCAGATTCCCAGGCCTGCCCCAGCTCTACCTAATCAGAAACTCTTTAAGTAGAGCCCAGCAATCTGCATTTGTTTAGACAGAGTCTCGCTCTGTCACCCAGGCCGGAGTGCAATGGCACAATCTCAGCTCACTGCAACCTCCACCTCCCGGGTTCAAGTGATTCTCCTGCCTCAGCCTCCCGAGTAGCTGGGACTACAGGTGCCCACCAGCACACCCGGCTGATTTTTGTATTTTTAGTAGAGACAGGGTTTCACCATGTTGGCCAGGCTGGTCTTGAACTCCTGACATCAAGTCATCCACCTGTCTCAGCCTCCCAAAGTGCTGGGATTACAGCAGCATTCTGTACTTTAACAAGGTCACCCTAAAGCACTCTAAAGATCGAGCATCACTGCTTTAGAATGACGTGGGGGATGGTTTGGGCTTGGGAGGTTTTCAAAGCAGGTGTTTCCAGTTGCTTCTTTGACCATAGAAAAGTCCATTTGGTTGAAAGTAACAAGCCTTCTCAGTGAACTCACTATTATGAATTAACTGCGGACATTATTCTTAATTTAATTTGCTGTGTGTATTTATCAGTTTTAAGCCAATTAACATGTGGATCTTGAAATGCTGCCTTTCATAATTCTGTTCTCACATGGTCTCTAACAGTAATTGGTGGCAGAATTATTTGCCAGTTGTGATCATTCTGGGTTTTTGGAAATAACATCATAGTATCAGGTCCAGGTCTGTCTGCTTTCTGGGGCAGGGTTTTATGCATTCATAAGTGGTTTCAGGTCATTTAAAAAGAAATGGTTGAGCATGTAGTTTGGAACTGTTACCAAACAATTCCTCACTACCCCTGTGATTAGACGGGAGCTAAATGCTAGTTTTGTATAAGAACAAGTACCTGAGTCACTTGAGCCCAGGCAGCTAAGCCCCTGACATGTCTCTGCACAGACTCAAAAGCCTAGAAACCAGGAAAGGCCACAAACAATTCTTGATTCTCATTCACATCTGATCTCTCCACAAAGTAAAGAAGAGAGCCACCATGGTCAGCCACAGGGACGCCAAACCTAAACCCCCAAAGCCCCATATCCTTGGGCTGCAATTTCTTAACGAGGTAGAAAAAACAATAAACTCCTACCCAGGACCACTGAGTGTGCACCTGCCACATGCCACGTGCTGTCAGCCACTCTACGCACCTGATCAGTGATTCAATAGCCCGCAGATGTCAGTGGTGTTTCCCACTACTTTGGAAAGAGAAAGTCTTGACTGAGCAAATAAGAAACCTGTCCAGGATCATGTGGCCGGGAAGTAGCAAAGCAAAGCTAGAATCAAACCTGGGGTGGCAATCAAACTGACCTCTTTCTGCTCCTCACACCTGCCTTCTGAGACTGTGGCTCAGGGTGGGAGATGACTGCCCTTCTGGAAAAGGGAGTCAGTTAAAGCTTTGGAGCCAGCTCATTGGCATCTGCTCATCAGAATAAGCAGGTTTTAAAGAGTCAAGCCCCACTGGTCAAAAGGTACTAAGTTCTGGTGGCATCTATTCAATAAGCACTCATAGCCAGCTCCTGTGTTGCTGCGTGCCCAGCACCAGGCTAGGTGGGCAGTGCAGGGATGGGGTAAGGGGCCTGGAGATCCTGACCATGACAAGGTCAGCGGGGTCATGGTGTGCACAGTGCTGGCCCAGCCCCACACATCAGAGAGGGCTTCAGGAAGGAGTGAGAGCTGGGCTGAATTTTAAGCATGAGTAGGCATCCCTGAGAAGTTTCATGAGCCAAGAAGGAGGTGCAAGTGTGAGCTGGAGATGCACAGCGTGTGGAGGCTCTGGGGCCAGCAGGGGCCATAGGGCATAGGGTCTGGACACAGTGGCAATTGCAGTGAAATTGCAGCCCAAGGATTTCAGGCTTTGGGGTTTAGGCTTGGCATCCCTGTGGCCGACCATGGCGGCTCTCTCCTTTACTTTGCGGAAAGATCAGACATGAATGAGAATCAAAGATTGTTCGTGGCATCTCCTGGTGTCTAGGCTTTTGAGTCTGTGCAGATTCAAAATTGGAGAGGGATGCAGAGATTCTCAAATTTAGGGCCTTCCTTGCAGAAGACCAGGAGTTCCACCTTGAAGGCGGGGAGGAGGCAAGGAAGGCCTTCAAGATGGGGACTGCCATGTTGAGATTGCAGTCATCAGTGACAGTGATGCAGATTTTGGGGTGATTGGTGTTGCCACTCAGCCCACTGAGGCAGGGGCCTGTCTCTGACAGCCCAGGGAGGGGTGTTAAGTTTGAGGAGCCAGGGGATGGCCAAAGGGAACCATCTCCTTAGCAGGTCATTGGACACATGGCTCTGGAGCTTAAAGAGGGCCCTGGGTCATGGCCATGCAGGTGAACTGGAGCAGGTGCGGTCACCCTGGGAGAGAGGAGAGTGGGACGAGGAGAGAGCAGGTGATAGAACTCTGAGACTCAGCCACATTGCAGATGTGGGTAGAGGAAGAGGGCCCTGGAAAGGTGCCAGATGTCTTCACCCGATGCTGGGTTCAGCGTATGTTTTACAGTGAAGCCAATTCAATGAAGAATTGGCTCTAGGTCTAAGCTGGAGAGGAGCCAGGTTTCTGAGGTTATTTGTCCTACACAAGATGATGTGCAATGTCACAGTCCCCATCCTGGCTGGGAAAGACAGAGCTGTCCCAGCGTGTGTTGGGGATTTGTGTTTCCATAGCGATTCTGGCCATGAACTGTCTTCCCAAACACATCCTTCACCTCTAGTTACAACAGTCATCCCGAGGGTGCCTCCAGGCCGTGTTCTACTCAGCTAATTTAAGCTCCTAAGAAGTGAGTAAGGGACAAGTGGGGTGGCTCATGCCTGTAATCCCAGCACTTTGGGAGACTGAGGTGGGTGGATCCTGTAAGCCCAGGAGTTCAAGACCAGCCTTGGCAACATAGGGCAACCTCACCTCTGCAAAAAATACAAAAATTCGCCAGGCATGATGGTACATACCTGTAGTTCCATCTTCTCTAGAGGCTGAGGTAGGAGAATCACCTGAGCCCAGGAGGTGGAGGCTGCAGTGAGCTGAGATCACACCACTACACTTCAGTCTGGAGACAGAGTGAGACCCTGTCTCAATAAAACAGAGAAAGGAAGAATTGAGTGGGAGCACTTACATGTGATAAGCTCCGAGTGGTCCCCTCCAGCTTGAGTCTGGAGTGTGATATCAACAACTTGGCCTCAGGGCTTCTGTTTCCCAGCAGAAACTGGGGGTAGAGGCTGGCATTTGCTCAAACCAAAAAGAAAAAAGAAAAAAAAGAATAAGTCCTGTTTTTTAGCTTACCAATGATCTCAAGGTCACCTAGATGGGGTTTCCACAGCACACCAAACCCCTGACAGAATTTCACAGCAACTTGGAGACAATTTTTCCAATTATCAGGCCCATTAAGAGTATACAGGGACAGTGATATCAAGATTAAATGATAGGGAAAGTGTCACTTTCTGCATAGCCAGCAAATGGTGAGTGAAAATTAAAGGCAATCCACATATCCATCGATCAACCCAGAGAGGGCATTGTATGGACCCATGGCGGCACACACCAGGGACTAGGGAGCATGTCGGCTCACCCCTCACCTGAGGTTTTAAGATTGTGTACATGTATGTGCGTATGTGTGGGCAAGGAGGGAAAACAGCACAAGCTGCAGCACTGGCCTCTTCAAGGGGAGCTCTCTGTGAAATCTCCCTAGACATTCCGAAGTCCACCGTGTGACAGAGTGGATGTTTCATTCAAATGAATGTAAGTGCTCATAGAGAGATGCTCCGTGGTGAAATAGAGCCCCCATTGCACAGTACCTTTAAGGGCGCCCTGGCGGCTCCCCAATCTAACTGGTCATGCATAAGGCCCCAGGAACTAGTTGTACGAAATGTGTGATTTTTTTTTTAGGTCCATAGGAGGTCAAGGATAGGGATGTTTGTCCCCCTCTTGTTTATGGAGTTAGCAGCCACCGCAGTGTTCATCTCTGGGAGAGAGGTCAGAGAAAAGAAGTGGGTATTCGCCATGGGTTGTATGCAACCATTGGAAGTAAGGGAATGCACACACCCAGCAACACAGGTGAACCACAAAACACAGTCGTGTGGAAAAGGAAGGAGAGTGAATGAGCTGATTGACTTGATACCATTTAGATAAACTAAAATGCACACATGCAACCCCATACAACCGCAACATGCAGCAATGCATATTAAAGACGCTCATTCTGATGGTCACCTATAGGGGTGGAGAATAGAGGTGATGGATGGAAATAGAAGAGAATCAATGTATCCATTCATCAATCAAGAGAAGGCATTGCACAGACCCCAGATGGCACACGCCATGGCCTGGGGAGCGTGTCAGCTTATCCCTCTCACCTGAGATTTTAAAATTGTGTACGTGTGTGTGCGTATGTGTGGGTTTTGGCCAATACATACTTTTTGATTTGGGGTTGCGTTTTTCTTTTAAGAGGTGCTCCTGGGAAGTTCAAGCTCCAGCAGGGGAACCTTGATGCCCAGGATGATCCTGTCCAACACCACAGCGGTGATGCCTTTTCTGAACAAGCTGTGGCAGGAGACAGTTCAGCAGGGAGGCAACGTGTCGAGCCTGGCCCGCAGGTCCCCCCGCCGCGATGACAGCAAGCTGGAGGCCCTCTACGTCCTCATGGTGCTGGGCTTCTTTGGCTTCTTCACCCTGGGCATCATGCTGAGCTACATCCGCTCCAAGAAGCTGGAGCACTCTCATGACCCGTTCAACGTGTACATCGAGTCTGATAGCTGGCAAGAGAAGGACAAGGCCTACGTCCAGGCTCGGGTCCTGGAGAGCTGCAGGGCATGCTACGTCGTCGAAAACCAGCTGGCTGTAGAACAACCCAACACACACCTTCCCGAGACGAAGCCTTCACCATGAACCCCACCACTGGCTAACACGGGACACATCCTGCCTGGCAACCTGATTTTCTAATCACATTCCTCTCATACTCTTTACTGTAATGGGTACCACTGGATTTCTTTTTTGCTACTGTAAGGGGTGAGGGGTGGATTAATGACAGTTTCACTGTTTTTCTAAAATCACGTTCTTCTGTGACAGACTGTCACTTGTTCCCCCATAGCTGTCCCTGCCTTGTGAAATTTAGCAGAATCCCTGAGGACATGGCCTCTGAGAATAGAAGCTGCATCTTCCAGACTCCCTTGCAGCTAGCGAGGTTGTGTGACTAAGCCCTGGCCCGTAGCTATGGAAGTGAAGACAGCAACGTCGAGGAATTCTTGGAAAGTAAAGGACGTGCCCTTTACTTCCCTGGTCCTGCTTCCCAGTGGCTGGACGTGGAGGTGGTGGAGTGCAGCTCTGAGTCTGGAAACTAACCAGGCACTCAAAGAACCACACATCTGGGCCTTGGCGATGTGATGGAGCAGGGTCCTCCTTACCACCCACAGGCCTGATGTACAGAAGAGAGAAACCCACTCCACTCTTCCTTAGGCCACTGTTATTTTGATCTGTAGCAGAATCAATGCCCTTACTAACACACCTACTTTATAGGACTGAACCTAAAGGCATGACATTTCCATACTTGTCACAAGCACACACCGATTCTGCCCTGGTCACTTCTGTGCTCACTCCTATGCTGCTATCCTCCTCCTGCCCTTCTGCCACCTACTCCTCCCTTGCACACACCCTTCACACATCTCCCCAAAAACACACAGACACATACACTCATATACATAGACACACACACACACACACACACACCCCTCAAGCTAGAAAGAACTCACTTCCTACAGGACTAAGATGGAGGAGGAAAAAATGCCTTCTTCAGAATGCATAGCAAGGGGAAGGTGCTCAGTCACTGTCGGAGTAGGGAGAGGTGCCCCCACTCCCCAAGAGCCAGGGAAAGGAGTGGCTATGGGCAGGGAGCAATGCATGGCACTGGGGTGGCAGGTCCTTTTGAGGTGATGGGGTTGTTTCGTGAGTTGAATTGTAACCTCCCAAAAAGACAGGTACCTTCAATGTGACCTGGTTGAGAAATAGGGTCTTTGCAGATGATGTAGTTGAGATGATCTAGTTGAGATGAGGTCATTGGGGCGGGCCCTCTTCCAAAGTGACTGGAGTCCTTATCAGAAGAGGGGAATTTGGACACAGACACATAGGGAGAACACCGTGCCGTGACAGAGGCCGCAAACCAGGGAAGGTCAAGGATGGATGCTCATTCCCATCCCAAGAAGCTGGCAAGAGGCCAGGAAGGCTCCTCCCCCACAGGTTTCGGAGGAAGCACGGCCCTGCTTGAATGCAAACTTCCGGCCTTCAAAACTGTGAGTCAGTGAGTATCTGCTGTTGAGGCCACCCAGCTCAGGATACTACAGGGAACTTATACAGCACCTCTCAGAGACAGAGCCATGCTGCCTACCAGTGGGGCACCTGGAGGAACTTCCCCAGCAGATAGAGAGGGCCTCTGTTCTGCCACCTGCCTTGAGAAGGTCTCCAGCTGCCATCTGTAGCTTTGGAGTCCTCTGCAAAGCGACATCCTGGAAGCTCACCTGCCTGGGCATTCCTGAAGAGTGTGGAATATTTAAATGACACGCAACGTTTTAAAACCTGCACCTAAGATAAATGAAAAGCAGCATGCGTGCATCTTTGACCATCCTCTGATGGATCCGCATGGTCTCATGAGGTTCCAGTCCTTGTTTCATATAATAAACACAGGCATGGCTCAGCCCCTGAGTTATCACAGTCCTTGAGATGAGTGGTCCTTTGGGTCACAAAGTCCTTTGAAAATCCAGTGAGAGCTGTGGTCTTCACCCCACCTGAATAATGCATATGGACACCACACCTTGCCTACCGTGTCCAGGGTTCATGGGCCAGTGGCAGCCCAGCTATGCCTTGTGCGTCTCACAGCCCCTGTGCGAGCCAGACCCGTCTGAGGCAGCTGCATATTCCCAGACTGAAGGCAAGGCAGGTTTGCAGAGAGAGACCCAGAGTGCACGTGACCCGCGGCGTGATCCCTGATGCACACTGACTTTGATATTCCAGGCACACGGACTGGCTCTTTATCACCACTTCATTTTCCCCACTAAGATTCCTGTGCCTTTTAAGGCAGAGGGAGATCCCTGTGGCTTTAGTCTTCCCAGGCCTTAAAGGGCCCCTGTCTTCACTCACAAACTTCTCTTTCTCCCTCCCCTTCCTCTTCATTTTAAAGGAGGAGAGGGAAAAGTAAGCGGAAGACAAATCGAGACACATTTTTTCAGACCCTTGTTACTATATTTTAAAAATTGGCTTCACATACAGAGTCCTTGCTATGCACCATGTACTGTTCTAAGCTCTTAAAGATAGGATCTCAATGATTGTTTTGCAGGCAATGCTCTATGCATTCATTAGCTAGGACAACAATGCTTTTGCAGTATTGAGATTTTGTTGAAAAATTAAAGCCATTTATCATGATCTGTGATGTGTGTTCACAATATCACTATGATACTTCTAGAAGATGGTTATCAATTCTTGCAATGCTCTGATGAGGCAGCCCCACGGACTTGGGAATAAGGAAAGTATGATTGCCTGTAGATAATGAAACTGCCATCAACACACAGCGGGTCAGAGCAGAGAGGTGTGAGTCCCCCTGATGCCTGCAGGTAGAAAGCAAGCGAAGCCCTAAGTGGAGACAGTGGCCACCTGTAGCACCCTCTTGCCTTGTAGAGGGGAGGCTGCTGTGCTGTGGGCACAGTCGGGACAGAGCAGGAAATGTGGGCACAGTTGGGACGGAGCAGGGAATGTGGGCACAGTCAGGATGGAGCAGGGAATGTGGGCACAGTCTGGATGGAGCGGGGAATGTGGGCACCGTCGGGATGGAGCAGGGAATGGGGAAACCATCTAGATGGAGCAGGGAATGTGGGCACAGTCTGGATGGAGTGGGGAATGTGGGCACTGTCGGGATGGAGCAGGGAATGGGGAAACCATCTAGATGGAGCAGAGAATGTGGGCACCGTCAGGATGGAGCAGGGAATGGGGGAACCATCTAGGTGGAGCAGGGAATGTGGGCACAGTCGGGATGGAGCAGGGAATGTGGGCACCATCGGGATGGAGCAGGGAATGGGGAAACCATCTAGATGGAGCAGAGAATGTGGGCACCGTCAGGATGGAGCAGGGAATGGGGGAACCATCTAGGTGGAGTAGGGAATGTGGGCACAGTCGGGATGGAGCAGGGAATGTGGGCACCATCGGGATGGAGCAGGAAATGGGGAAACCATGTAGACGGAGCAGAGAATGTGGGCACCGTCCAGGTGGAGCAGGGAATGTGGGCACTGTCTGGACGAACTTCTGGATATTGTAGGAGAAGCCGTGAACTCTCCTAATGTTTACACATTGGCAACTAATTTGCTCTTTGAAACCTGTGTGGGTCAAACAAAATATAACCTTGAGCTGGATTCTGCCCAGAGCCCACCAATTAACTGCCTGTGCTTTACAGAGGAAGAATGGCTCCCAGCCAGCCCCATACCACACTTGAGAGAAGCATAAACAGAGTCAGTGCTTGGGCACTTGTAATCCCAGCACTTTGGGAGGCCAAAGTGGGCAGATTGCATGAGGTCAGGAGTTTGAGACCAGCCTGGCCAACATGGCGAAACTCTATTTCTACTAAAATGCAAAAATTAGCTGGGCATGGTGGCATGCGCCTGTAATCCCAGCTACTCAGGTGCCTGAGGTGAGAGAATTGCTTGAACCCGGGAGGCAGAGGTTGAAGTGAGCCAAGAGTGCGCCACTGCACTCCAGCCTGGGCAAAAGAGTGAGACTTTATCTCAAAGAGAGAGAGAGAGAGAGACAGAGAGAGAGAGAGAGAGAGAGAGAGAGAGAGAGAGAGAGAGAGAGAGAGAGGGAGGGAGAGAGAGAGGAACCCTGCTCAGCCACAGTGGCAGGAACAGGCACTTCCTTGAGTGTGGTCCTGGGGCCAAGCGACCAGAGGTCCCAGCCTCATGATGAAAGGCTGACACTGACACTGTGAGAACATCCCATTCATCTGACCCTCCCATTCAGATTCTGGATTCCACAGTCTTTGCATCTCCAGGCCAGGCTGTGGGAGCACAAAATAATGCATGTGTCACTGTTGAAAGTGTTCTCCATCTAAAACCCACATTGGTGTGTGACTTCTCTATGGGCACAAACGAGATGTAAATGCTAGATCAGGCAAGGAGAGATGAGTAAAGGCTGCCAGTGCTTGAAGACAAAAGAAATGGACATAAAGTTATGAATGGGTGGGTAGGGACTGGTACATTTTTTTTTAAATAGGATCTGGCTCGGTCACCCAGGCTGGAGTGCAGGGCTGCAATCATAGCTCACTGCAGCCTCGCCCTCCCAGACTCAAGCCATCCTCCCCACTCAGACTCCTGAGTAGCTGGGACTACAGGCACAAGCCACCATGCCCAGCTAATTTTTTTTTTGACACTAAGTCTCACTCTGTCACCCAGGCTGGAGTGCAGTGGTGTGATCTTGGCTCACTACAACCTCTGCTTCCCAGATTCAAGTAATTCTCCTGTCTCAGCCGCCCGAACAGCTGGGATTACAAGTGCCTGCCACCACACACAGCTAATTTTTGTATACGTAGTAGAGACAGGGTTTCGCCATGCTGGCCAGGCTGGTCTTGAGCTCCTGCCCTCAGGCAATCCACCCACCTCTGTCTCCCAAAGTGCTGGGATTACAGGCATGAGTCACTGCACCCAGCTTCTGTTAAGTCTTTGAGTAAACAAAATCATTGGATACATAAAACAAATCTAAATACAAAAAATGTATTTATTTATACAAATAATTCCAAAATACTGGAATTTATTGATCTGCAGGTGCAGTGAAAAGCGATCTGGGTACTGATGCCCTCTGGTGGTCACTTTGAGGATATTGCTTAATGCACAGGGAACCCTGAAGACCCGGCAGCCAGCAGGTGCCTGCTGAGGCTGGGTGAGGGGCTCTGAATGCCTTTAGATGCCCTTGGGAGGCTACACTTCTATTCAGCCGTCAAGTTCAGGGAGATGGGACCCATCGTGGCACGACTTCCCAGCCCCCAGGACTATGAGAAAGAAACGTCTGTTGTTTCAAAGCCACCCAGTCTGTGGTAGTTTGTTACTGCAGCTGGAATGGACTAAGGCGCCTTCTTTTCCTTCTTTCTTATTTCGCTTCTCATGCAGCATCAGCCTTTGAGTCTGTGACCTCCGCTTCTCCATCAATTCATAAATTCCTCACTAGTAGGGGTTCAGTCCTGCTAGCTCTTGAGGATTTGCTCAATAGCTAAAACTTTGGAGATTTCTCTCTCTTTTTATAAACCAGGGATATTAGAAAGACCACACTTTAAGGCAAAACAGGCAGAAAGCTTGGATCTGGTGTATGTTCAGCAATCAGCCCTAGGAGGCATCTCTAACCTCTAAGGAGCAGCTCATGTGGTTTAGTTTACACTTCGGCCCTAAATACACAACTCTGCTTCTCATTCCCTACTTCAGGTGGTCCATGCAAGGATTTATAAGGCAATAGGCTGCGAAGCCAAGTTTGTGCCACTGCACTTTAGCCTGGGTAACAGAGTGAGGCCATCTCAAAAAAAGGGTGAGAGTATTATTGACTGGCTTATTCCACTTGCTTATTCTGTGGATGGCCAGAGCCCATCCCAGAGGCACAGGGTCAAGGCAGACTCCAGCCCTGGGCGGGGTCCTCTTCCATCACAGGGCACCTCACCCACTCCCACACCCCCTCACACTGGGTCCACGGAGACATGCCAGCTCATCTACAGTGCATAGCTTGGGATGTGGGGGGAAACTGGAGGACCCAGAAGAAACCTACACATACCTGAGAGAATGTGCATCCTCCACAGAGACAGTGGCCTGGCTAGGAAGTGATTTTTTTTTTCTCATCAAATTTATAGCAAAATGCTGTTGAACAAGATGGCGTCATCCAAGGACCTGCTGTATAATGACATGTATCTGTCATTGTAGTAACATACAAAGTATTTTCACTGCCCTAAAAGTCCTGGTTATCCTCCCCACACCCATCTCAACCGCTGGCAACCACTGATGTTTTTACTGTCTCCATAGTTTTGCCATTCTCAGGATGTCGCATAGTTGGAGTCCCGCAGTATGTAGCCTTGTCATTTGGCTTCTTTCACTTAGTCATATGCATGCAAGTTTCCTCCATGTCTTTTCATGTCTTGATAGCTCATTTCTTTTTAGCACCGAATACTATTCTGTTGCGTGGATGCAGCACAGTTTATTTACCCATTCACCTACTGAAATGCATCTTGCTTGCTTCCAAGTTTGGGCAATAATAAATAAAGCTCGCTATAAAAATATGCTACATATAAGCATCTGTGTGCAAGTTTTTGTGTGGACACAAGCTTTCAACTCCGTGGGTAAATACTTAGGAATACGATTGCTGGATTGTTGGTAAGGGTACCTGTCGTTTTGTAGGGAACTGCCAAACTGTATTCCAAAGTGACTGCACCATTTTGCCTTCCCACCAACAATAAATGGGGGTAGAAAATGCCAAGTCCTCACCAGCATTTGGTGTTGTGAGTATTCTGGGGTTTGGCTATCATATATATATATATATATACACACACACACACACACAATGGAATATATATATATTCATATATATATTTGTGTATATATGTATCTGTGTGTATATAATATAAATAATATTAAATATAAATAATATTAAAAATTTTAAATATCCTATATATATTCCTCTCTACATATATGCCTATACATATATCTCTCTCTCCCATTATATGTGTGTGTATATATGTATGTAATATAAGGAGAGTTTATTAAGCATTAACTCACACAATCACAAGGTCCCACGATAGGCCATCTGTAGGCTGAGGAACAAGGAATGCCAGTCTGAATTCCAAAACCGAAGAACTTGGAGCCCAATGCCTGAGGGCAGGAAGCATCCAGCACAGGAGAAAGACTGAGGCTGCGAGGCTAGGCCAGTCTCCCCTTTCACAGTTTTTACCTGCTGACATTCCGGCCGAGCTGGCAGCTGATGAGATGGTGCCCACCAGACGAACGGCGGGTCCGTCTTCCCCAGCCCACTGATTCAAATGTTACTCTCCTTTGGGAACACCCTCCCAGATACACCCAGGATCGATAGTTTGTATCCAGTCAAGGGGACACTCAGTATTAACCATCACACCCACCACCTGTTTTTGTAAATAAAGCATTATTGGAACCCAGAGACACTCTTCGTTTATATTAATACTATTTATGGCTGTGTTCATGCCACAAAGGCAGAGTTGGGTTCTTGTGATGAGAGCATACGAAAAAAAAAAGCTAACCAGTACCTATCACTAAGCCCAGAATTCAGCACCGACGTGTTTTATTGCTTTCGTATGTACATGTGTAAAATCCACACATCTGACTGTTGCTTTGCTTTCTAGCATACACAGCTCCGGCCCGTAAACACGGCTGCCT